TATAAAAAGTTATGGGTAATGAATGGTATAACTGGTGGAAGATAGAATTAAATAGAATATAAAAAGTTATGGGTAATGAATGGTATAACTGGTGGAAGATAGAATTAAATAGAATATAAAAAGTTATGGGTAATGAATGGTATAACTGGTGGAAGATAGAATTGTCTGAATTAACTTCTTTTTTGTGAGTTTCTCCTTTTCTGTTTGAAATACGTTAAAGTATGCTTGGTAAGTACTTTATATAATGTAAAATTTTAAATTAAACATACATGTTTTGTATATGTTACTTCTCTGAACCACTGTTATTTTATTGTGAATAATGTGGCTCTGCATTTAAAATTGTTAACTTTAAACAGCAGAGGTGAAAAATATCGTGTATGCTAGACGTAAAATGACATTAATGGTTAAAAATAAAGTTTGATTTGTTTGGAATTTCGTGCAAAGCTGAGGAGTAAAGATAATATTTGTACACCAAACGGATTAAGTGAAAATTGAAGTATTTATTTCTCCCATAACCAATGTAATAGTAGTGAGATTGACCGTCACATTATAACGCCCCCATAGCTGAAAGGGATTCGAACCCGCGACTCTCAGATTAGAAATCGAGTGCCTTAACCACCTGGCCATGCTTTATACTTTAGTATAAAAAGAAGAAGAAAGTATCGAATTTGAGAGGGCCTTAACCACCTGGCCATGCCGGGCCCCTCTAAAGTATGAGAAGAAGAAGAAAGTATCGAATTTGAGAGGGCCTTAACCACCTGGCCATGCCGGGCCCCTCTAAAGTATAAAAAGAAGAAGAAAGTATCGAATTTGAGAGGGCCTTAGATTATATTGAATTAAAAAAAATATCATACAATATCCAACACTTTAAACTAAAAAAAGAATTACAAGTTTATAAAAAAACTTTAAAAGAGTGTGGAGAAAATTAATGTTATGAAGTGCTAATGAAAAACTTTATTTTAATATCGCATGTCGAGTGTTTGTTTGTTTGTTAGGAATTTCGCGCAAAGCTACACGAGGGCTATCTGCGCTAGCCGTCCCTAATTTAGCAGTGTAAGACTAGAGGGAAGGCAACTAGGCATCATCACCCACCGCCAACTCTTGGGCTACTCTCTTACCAACGAATGGTAGGATTAATCGTCACTTTATAACGCCCCAACGGCATGATTGGTGTGAGAGGGATTCGAACCCGCGACCCTCAGATTGCGAGTCGAGCGCCATAACCA